TATTAATGGACATGTCATCCCACTCATTCAAGTTAAACTTTTTTAAAGTGTTGTTGCCGGTTGTGAGTTACGTTAGTTGTCTAAAGGTAACGTCGATCCTTGACATGATTGCATTCAACTGTAACTCATTCTGATTCTTGTGATTTAATGTAGTTTAGAATATTAATTTGTAAAAGTAAAGCTTCTTAATTTTATACTATAACGAGCTCTTTGGAGTCTAAAAATTTTTTGGAGTCCAAATTTTTTTACAGAACATTGAATTGCAAATTTTCTTGTTTTTGGCACATAATCTACATTCTATTGTTAATCTTATTCTACTGCGTTGTTCTTGAGCTAAGCTTCATAACGATATTTTTTTTTCAAAGATTTAAAGGAAAGAGAGGTTTAACATTTTTATTTTATTTTTAACAAACGATATTATAGGGAGTGGGGTAGACCTCACAATCTACTAGCAATAATGTGGTTCAAATTCGCATTTGGTGTAAATTGAACTTAAGACATCTCACTTATAAGTAAAGAGGAATATCACTAGACTATAGTACTAAGTGACAAGTGAGATTTAACATTTAAAGACTCAAGATGAGAAAATCTTGTGTACGGCAAATAGAACATAAGAAAAAAGAATACAGGGAACCTTTGTTTAAACCATTTATGAAAATTCTGAATAATTTTATTTTTAACCAATTTAAGGTGTGTATATATAGGAATTACAAGAGTTAATTTACAAGTATTTCACTGATGCGGGATAAGGAAACTATTTACAACTTAACTAATATATGTACAATTCAAAGCACTCTCTCTCAAGATGGAACATAGATGTCACTCATGCCCAACATGTCGAGCAAGTTGGAAAACGCACTACTAGATATAGCTCTAGTAACCACATTAGTAAGTTGACCTTCAATAACCACAAATTTGAAGGAAATGATTCCAACGTCCAATTTTTCCTTGATAAAGTGTTGACCAATCTTAACATCCATATAATGCGATCATGCATATTGCACTGGATTATGAGAAATCTAAATAGCTACCGTATTATCACAATGTAGATTCATAGCTTCCTTAGGTCTAACCCCAAGGTCTCCCAATAATTTCTTCAACCACAACAACTCATAAACACCATAAAACATACCACTAAACTCAGCTTTTGCAATCAACCTTGTTATCGCTTTCTGTTTCTTTACTTTTACTACAAAAACAAAGTATCTAAATGTGGACTAGCGGTCTATGATGGTGAACAGAGCCCTTGAGATGGACATGATACCCGATGAAGCAGCAATTGTCGAGATAGCCATTGGCTCAGACTCAGACTCTGATGAGGAAATAGAGTTTTCTGGCGAGCAAGTAGTAGCATACCGCCCAATGACGACTCTAACTTCGCTTCCTCCGATGAAGTCGAAATGCTAGAGGTATCTTTTCTAACTCCGACGACTCCCCTGAGGAAATGGAGGCTCCCAACAAAGATTGGGAAAATGACCCCAACAAAGATTGGGAAAATGATCAAGACAAGTAGTCTAAGGTACACAAAAGATACTTCGGTTTCTACCTATGGTCCTCTTCGAAACACAAATTGATGATGAAGATTTCTCACAATCATACGTTTTTCCTCTGCCTCAACTGGTGGTTTTAGGAGATAAGGATGGTGTTGTGGTCTTAACGGTTAGTTATGAACTTATGTCTCACTTTTTTCAACGTCTAGGTTCAAGGTAAGCCCGACCCCACCATAAATTGTGACGATCGATATTTTTATAAGGTTGGGGCAATTAGCTTAGCCCCACATATAGTCATGGTTGTGGAGGCCCCATCACAAATTGGCATGGCCTCACCGTAGATTGTGCCAGTCGATCTTCCATTTAAGCTCGCTGTGATCAGTCAATGGCAACATAAACCTTATAAGTAGGAGATAATTATACTTGTAGCCTTTCTGATTAGTAGCATACCAATAAACACACATTGAGAGCATATAGATTAAGTTTACTTTGTTGATGAGAGTACACATGCACATATGCCATACAACAAGATAACTTCTGAGGAAGTATTTTAACACATAAACAAGAGAGGCATGTGTTTTTTTAGCAGAACATCAAGTGGCGTCTGAAAATCCAGGACTCGACTTGGAAAACAATTGAATAAATACACATCAACCATAATTGTAATACCAAAAAAATGATCGAGAACAAACTTATCCAACATTAAGGAGCAAACAACCTCCATTATATGATGATCCTTTCATTTAGACACACTATTTTGTTGAAGTGTAAAGGGAATTGTCGTCTGATGAGTAATACCTTGATCACAAAAGAAGCAATCCAAGGTGTTATTTACATATTCACCTCTATTGTCAAACCTAAAGACCTTCATTTGATTCTGAAATTGAGTAGACACCATTGCACAAAATATTGAAGAATATAGAAGACAACCTCTTATTTTTCATCAAAAGCACCTAAGTTAATTGAGTACAATCGTCAATCAAAGTGACATCCCAGAGGAATCCATTAGAAGTAACCTTAGTAGGACCTTGTAAGTTGTGAGTGTCAAAGAACATGTGCTCACTGTATCTTGACATACAAGTAACTTGGTCAATCCTGGTTAATAGTTGAGAAAATTATGGAGCCTTATTTAGTTAGGTTTAGGAGTCCTTATTTAGTGCAATTAGTCTTGAAAACTTTAATTAGTTGACATAGAATTCGTTACCGTTTAGGACTATTATGATACCCTAATTGATATGGAAAATCCCATGTAATCAGTTAATACGCTAAAGTATAGGAATAATTATCAGTATATTAGGAGGTCCCTGCACTCACAGTAATCATCCTTGTTTTGTGCTAAACCCTATTCACTAGCAAAAAGACTTACGACTGCTTGAGTGGAGAAGACTCTCCTGAAACCCTAGCATCATGTCTTCCTCTTCTACATATAAGTTTATTTCATTTTCATGTTGATATGGTTATCGCATTCGTGATCCTAATGTCTTGTTGTTGTGATTTTAGAATATGTCTTACAGAGCCCACACATCATAATGTACCAAATCAAATGGCAAAGCAACTTTAGAATCACTTATTGGGAAGGTAGAAATATGACTTGGCTAAGACACAAGTTTCACACTTGGACTTGGAATCATGACAATTAAGAAACAAGGAAGGAAATAGGTGATGAATGATGGATGTCCCAAATGACAATGCCATAACCAAATTGATCTTTCTCAGCCACTTTGCCACTTAAAACTTTATGATTACTTGGTTCTAAGACCGTCGCATCCCCTAGATCAAGATGCAAAACCCCACAATTATTTTACTACGACCAATAAACTCTTGAGCTTTAAGGTCTTGAAAATAATAATATGTGAGGGTAGAAGTGAGCAGAACAACGTAATGTATCAAGTAGTTTTCCTACCAATAGTAGATTGCACTTAATATTAGGGATAAGTAGAGCAATGATAAACTCGGAGTAAGAGATAGCACCTTCAACCTTCATAGGAAATTGTGCCCGATTACCACTAGTAATAAATAGATTACGAACATAATCATTTAATTCATCAAACACTTTATAGTCACCAGTAGCATGATTAGTGGCCCCAATATTAATTATCCACTTCTTTGTTTCAGCGAGATGCATAACCACACTATTATTAAATTGGTCCATTAAGCAAAAAAGAGAAATTGACATGGAGAGGAATTGCAGGAATTTTTTTTACCAAAAACACTATTCACGATACCGTAGCAGAATCGCGTTCATGACACTGCATGTAGCACACTACCAGCAATTGTTTCTTTTAAAAAAATCTAAACAGAAGTTTGGTACGAACACAACAGATCACAGATCAAGACAAAGGTATCATGAGCTGGTAAGATGAACACAAGCAAAACCCTAATTCAAAAAATTAGGGCATGACAACACAAAACTTTTTAGACAACCGCGGGCACAACACAAAGGAAAAACTGAGAACGAGATTAGGGCAAAAAGATCATCAAAAGAGAACTGCTATGATGCCAAATTAAGCTGTATTTAAGAAATTTCTGAATAATTATATTATTCTCCAATTGGAGGTGTGTGTGTGTGTGTGTATATATTTGAATTATATGAGTTACTTCACAAGCTTTTCACTGATATGGACAAAGAACTATTTACAACTTAACTAATATATACAACTCGCAACACTCTTTTTGTGTGAATGTGATTAAACCACCTTACTTGTGAGACAGACGGACGCTAAAATTTATTGTAAAAGAGAAGAAGTGAGAGTAACAAACTCCACATAGCATCTATCACTTCCATACCTCCTCTTTTGGGTATTATTATGCTTAAAATGACAAATGATGAGTAGTTATTCAAGGAAAAAGATTTGAGCATAGACACCCAAGAAGAGGAGAAATATGAGTCCCAAAACCACAATCATTCAAAATATCGACATTACTCTTTTATCAATATTGTTTAGAGCTATTGCGGTCCAATCTAAAACACTTTCATGACTTCATTCGTAATTGCTTTGTTGTGCCATCGAAGAGGAGAGGTGGTGGTTGTTTTGTCATTTTTGAGTCATATATGGAGTGAAAATATAAACACATCCATCCATCTTTATATATATATGTGTGTGTGTGTGTGTGTAAACCCTAATCCGAAGTAACAAATCCCTTAATTTAATTAGTAGTGTATGAGCCAGCCGCCAAACGCTAGCCAATAAGCTAGCTAGCCATTAACCTCTAACATTTGAAATGAGGAGGAAACAGGAGATATCGTTGAGGCGTTAGATATATATTCAACTGCTTCAAGTCAAGTTAGCTGGCGTTTCTTCTCTCACATTCCATTTACAAAAGAATATCTAACGGTCAACCCCTACCAGCCCTCCTCTCTCTCTCTCTCTCTCTCTCTCTCTCTCTCTCTCTCTCTCTCTCTCTCATCAAATCAAACCCCTCCATTCCAACAGCAAAAAACTAGAAAAGAGCAACTCTTTCACTTCGTTTTGTTTTATATCCTTAAATCAACTACACCTGCCCACCTCTCTCTCACTCTGTGTGCGCAGAGCTAGCTAGGTAGAGCCACCATTGCCATCCCATAAAACAATCCCATTGGTTACTGTCTCCTAATACTGAGAACATGCACTACGCTTGCCATGGGCGTCGACATGTCTAACAATCCACCAACTTCTCGCACCAAGGACTTCTTTGCTTCCCCAGCCCTCTCCCTCTCCCTCGTATGTACTTCTTCACAAACCCTCATCCATTTCATTTCAACTAATTAACCCTTTTAATCTTAGCTTTCAATAGTAAGAAAGTTTTTGTTTTGGGTTGCATGCGCTTAATAATGTTTTTTGTATTTGGGTTTTGAAGGCTGGGATTTTTCGTGATGCTGGGGAGGCGGCCGCGGCAAGCAGGGAGGTGGAGGAAGGAGAAGAGGGCAGCGGTGGAGGCGGAAGCACAGCTGTAGGCAGTGTTCGCCGGAGAGAAGACACAGCGGAGGTTAGCAGCGAGAACTCCGAGCCAGCAAGGTCGAGATCAGAAGATGAATTTGACGGAGAAGGAGAGCACGACGAAGATGATGCTGATGGAGACAACAAGAACAAGAAGAAGAAGAGGAAAAAGTACCATAGGCACACCACTGAGCAAATCCGAGAAATGGAAGCGTAATTACACGTTCCCTTATTTATTTATTTTTTAGTACAAGCGAAATTGGAAGACGGTTTAACGAGTATATATGTGTCATGACTAGGAACTCATATGACCTAGCTAGTCACAACTTCGTTGGAACACTTGAATTAATGGATCGTTTTTTGCAGAAGGAGAAAGATTTTCGCACACTTATTCTCTTCTTTCGCACTGTTTTGTTCGTTGATTCATTCAACTCCAAGGCAAAAAATTACCACTCTTCCTGTGCAAAATACCATGTTTTAAAGGAAATTGGATTAATTAGGATTTTGGAATTTGAACAATGCACATGGTTTTGTAATTGGTCGGTTTAATCTCTTTTAATTTGCTTGCAGCTTTTTTGAGAAAGAGAATGATTACTTTACAATGTACGATGTAAAGATTCAACGAGAGTTGGTGACATTTATTTGTTCATCACAAAAGGAAACATACAAATATTAATTGAAAAGTTAAATTGACAACCCTTTCGGCTCTTTCTTTTACATGCAATTTTAAAGTGCTGATTAGTTTCCTACTTGCAGTGATTTAATTATTAATCACAAATCAGCATCTGCTTATCAATGTGTTCGCTCTTTAACCAGAATGTGTTAATTAATTGGGAATGTTATTAATCTGCAGGTTGTTCAAAGAATCACCACATCCTGATGAGAAGCAAAGGCAGCAATTGAGCAAGCAATTAGGCCTTGCTCCAAGGCAGGTCAAGTTTTGGTTTCAGAATCGTCGAACCCAAATCAAGGTACTTAATTTAATTAATCTTCTGATAATTGTGATCGTTTCACACTAGCCGTCGGATTATTGGTAATCAAGGAATGGGATATTTGTTGGTCTATTTTACACAGGCTATACAAGAACGCCATGAAAATTCTCTGTTGAAAGGCGAAATGGAGAAACTCCGCGACGAGAATAAGGCAATGAGGGAGCAGATAAACAAATCTTGCTGCCCCAACTGTGGCACTGCAACCACTAGCCGGGATGCCACCCTCACAACCGAGGAGCAACAACTGCGAATCGAAAATGCCAGACTCAAATCCGAGGTTAGAAGTTGGAGCTATTTCTTCAACAACATGAAGACGAAAAAAAACGATCGATCAAATATTATTTGACACGTAGTTTGGACTAATTTCAATATATGCATGTAGGTCGAAAAACTCAGAGCAGCTCTTGTAAAATACCCTCCCGGGACATCCTCTCCTTCCTGCTCCGCTGGTCAAGACCAGGAGAATAGAAGCTCTTTGGATTTCTACACTGGAATATTCGGAATTGAGAAGCCGAGGATTATGGAGATAGTGAATCAAGCAATGGAGGAGCTTAAGAAGATGGCTACTGCAGGGGAACCACTCTGGGTTCGGAGTGTGGAGACTGGCCGTGAAATACTTAATTACGATGAGTACATCAAAGAGTTCAACATTGAAGTTCCTGGCAATGCGCGGCCAAAGAGATCCATTGAGGCCTCCAGAGAGACCGGGGTGGTGTTTGTGGATCTTCTGCGACTAGTTCACAGCTTCATGGATGTGGTACACACTAGCACCTTTCATGAAGCTGCAATATACAAGTCTTATTGCTTTGTACTTGCAGGAACTGTAAGCTAACGGTCTCTGGTATTACATTGTTTGCAGAATCAATGGAAGGAAATGTTTCCATGCATGATCTCAAAGGCGGCAACTGTTGATGTTATTAACAATGGTGAAGGAGACAATAGAAATGGTACAGTACAATTGGTAAGCTGAAAATTTTCCTTTTCAACGTCAATACGTAGATCAACCTGTATGCAGCATAAACCAGAATATTCTGCAGATGTCTGATTCCATTAAAGAAAACTCAAAGTTGAGTTTGGCTGCAGATGTTTGCAGAGCTGCAAATGCTTACGCCCTTGGTTCCCACTAGAGAAGTGTACTTCGTTAGATGTTGCAAGCAATTGAGTCCTGAACAATGGGCTATTGTTGATGTTTCGATTGACAAAGTCGAAGATAACATAGATGCGTCCTTGGTGAAATGCAGGAAGCGTCCCTCTGGCTGCATCATTGAGGACAAATCAAATGGCCACTGCAAGGTACGCAAACATGTTTCCAAATTTGATTGCACACTTAGTTACAACTTATGAATAGAAAGTTTTGGATATCAGAATTTAAACACCTAGACACCCCGAGTGAGAAAATTTTGGATATCAGAATTTTATATGAGCAGTGAGTACCTATATGAGTATTTCTTTTGACAATTGACTTTGGCCAGGGAATGGAAAACAACACAAAAATCAAAACAGAAACACAGAGGTGAAAGGGATAGAATCATGCATTGATTTGTAACGGTGCAAACCGGGTTATATGATCTAATGATGGTCTGCAGGTGATCTGGGTGGAGCACCTAGAATGCCAGAAGAGCACAATTCAGACCATGTACCACACCATTGTCAACAGCAGTCTAGCATTTGGAGCAAGACATTGGGTAGCAACGCTGCAACTGCAATGCGAACGACTTGTTTTCTACATGGCAACCAATGTTCCCATGAAGGATTCAACTGGTATGTCCAAGTTAAACAGACTTAAAAATGCATCTAGTACAATAACTAAATGAGGGTAATAATCGAAATTAAATGCTTGCAATTAATTACTGAATATTAGGTGTGGCCACCCTTGCTGGGAGAAAAAGCATTCTAAAATTGGCACAAAGAATGACAACGAGCTTTTGTCGTGCAATCGGAGCATCAAGCTACCATACCTGGACTAAGATCTCAAGCAAAACAGGGGACGACATAAGGATTGCCTCCAGAAAGAACTTGAACGACCCAGGAGAGCCTCTCGGTGTGATTTTGTGTGCTGTTTCTTCAGTATGGCTGCCAGTCTCTCCTCATGTGCTCTTCGATTTCTTAAGAGACGAGACTCGCAGGAATGAGGTTAGTAAATGTGAAACAACTCTACTAATCTATAATTAATCATGTTATAGCACTACAATTGTTAATTAAATTTTCTTGTTCCCTAATTGCTAGTGGGACATTATGTTAAATGGAGGACCAGCTCAAACAATTGCAAACCTATCCAAGGGACAAGATCGTGGCAATGCTGTTACAATCCAGGTGGGTTCTCTTTCTTGATACACAAGTTGACCCCTTATTGTTAATCCGAAATCTTTATAATTTCTGCTAATAATATTTTGCATTCCAAATGTTCAGAGCATGAAATCAAAAGAGAAAAGCATGTGGATACTACAAGATACCTGCATAAACTCTTACGAGTCGATGGTGGTCTACGCTCCAGTGGATATCACTGGAATGCAGTCTGTGATGACAGGATGCGCCGCGAGCAACATCGCCATATTGCCTTCAGGGTTCTCGATTCTTCCTGACGGGCTGGAGTCGAGGCCGATGGTCATCACATCCAGGCAAGAAGACAGGAGCAGTGAAGGAGGAACTCTGCTGACAGCAGCATTTCAAGTCTTGACAAATTCCTCCCCCACAGCCAAGCTAACAATGGAGTCTGTGGAGTCTGCCAACACACTAATATCATGTACTTTGAGAAATATTAAAACAACCTTGCAGTGTGAGGATGGCTGATCGGAGTAATTTTATTAATTAGCTTTAGACATAAGTTAAATTAAAAAATTTAGGGTTTTCATATAATTTTATTTCTTTCTTTCTTTCTTTTTTTTTTTTTTTTTAATTTACCAGTGGATTTAGAAATGAGTCATTTGTGAGTTTGTCTATTCGTTTTGGTTGGAATGGAGGACTTGGGACTGAAGGCAAGATTTGATTTATAGTCTTTCAGTTTCCTTGGAAATAACTATTTATCAATGCAAAATTTGGCAAATTTAGTTACTATTTGCATTCTTGCAATCTGAAATGACTCGGTTTCTTATTATTTAAGCGCTATTTACTCTAGCCTAAGCTACAGAGAGGCGGATTCAAACTTGAGTTCAAATGGGAAGGGGGGCATTGCCCTGGCCAACTTAGATACGCTCAGATCTGCAGAGTGAAACCAAACTGGTTCGTCTAAATTTAAATAGAAGGCCTTTTTCGCCTCAAGAAAAACACCAACACTGCTGGCACAGAATGATTACAGACAATATACGTTGAAGAACTGGAGACACCTTTCTTACTGCTATCAATTTAGCACAAATTTTCTTTCCATCTATAGACTTGCAGCAATATACATTGAAGAACTGCAATTTTGATAAATTCCAAATTAGGTTCCCAAATGCCATGATTGGTATTCCCTTGACAAACAAATCTGCACTTGTCCAGCTTAACAAAAACAAAACCCGTATTCGGTTCTGTAGAATGAACATTATCCTTGGTTTTTATGATTATCTTATCTTTAGCAGTAGTAGCGACTGGAAGAGTAACTAATTCAAAACTCAAATGTAACAGAAGCAGAACAACTCCGGGCAAAGGCACCTGCTCACATAAGCCGTCCAATTTGACAATAACACAGCTCGGGCTTGCAAATAGAAACACAAGCACCAAGAAGAATTAGGCGGAACACTAACTGAAATCCTACATTGCACAGACTTGCAACAAACCGGCAAAATTATCAAAGTCACCTCAAGGTAACCAAAAGTGCACTCCTATCCTATGGCTTGGCTTTATTTATCAAAACCCAAATTCCTAAAGCCAGAAAGTATCAAACTTTACAACTTCCCCCAAAAGCATATATGCCTAAAAGGTACCAATTTTTCACATTCATCAGCAAGCACGAAATATTCTTTCATATTTTCCAGTGAATTTCAAACCCAGAAATCTTCACATTTAGGCCTTCTTTTATTTACATTCATCCCACTTGTTACTCTACTCTTGTATCTGTTAATCCAAATTCATTCAAGAAGCACTCGTCGAATCCTCGATAAAATTTGGCAATTCAAACAAATTCCACACAATGCAGTACGCACGACAATCCCCAACACCAACATTTTAAAAATGCAGTGAAAATTAAGTGCTGCTTAAGGCATCTCATCAAAAACCCATTGAGATTGAGATTACACTAATTTCAACCAAAGGAAGCTCAAGATTTCATTAATTTTCACCAAATTACACTAAATTCGAAACATTCTCATTAGCCCAACTCACAAAATGCACAATCAAAACAGCAACATAGACCCCACTCTAAACCTGCAGAGACTCCAAAGGAATCCCGAGCTCATTCGGCACGTCGCCTTCACCGGACTTGCCTTTTGAATTCTTGGCAGGGACCGGCACAGCAAGAAAAGTCTTGGTCTTGCTAATGGGTCTGCATTTTTCAAGCTGGACAACGTCCCCAACCTGGAACTGGTTATCCGGGTCGTGGGCCTGGTACTTCTTCTTCTTCCTGACCCGCCTCTTGTACTTGGGGTGCGGAGCGAGGCGGGTGACTTCGACGGCGACGGTCTTGTCGCTGGTGGCGCAGACGACGCGGCCTTGGAGGTACTTCAAGGCTCTGATGGGCGGGAGGAAAGTAAGGCGTTGTGGGGTCGGGAAGGCGAGGGAGGAAGTGGGTTTGGAGAGGGGGGAGAAGGGGGTGGAGGAGCCATGGAGGAAGGGGGTGGAGAGCTTGGGAGAGGGGTGGAGGAGTGAAGCTGTGAGTGACATCTTTGCTTTGGTTTGACGTTTGAGTTCGGAGTTTTGGGTATAAACGTGTGGAGGATAAGGGAGATTGGATGAGGTGTCTCTCTACGATATCTTTTGAATTGGGATTTTAGGAATTTTACTCCTCTATGTTGAAATTTTTCTTTGGAAAAACCGAAAATGGTGTTTGGAGTTGGATATAGAGCTCGTTTGGATATGTTTTTAAAATAACTGAAAACGTTTGTAGTGAAAATATTTTTGGAACCAATTCTTAGTAAAATGCAAGTAAATTCTGAAAAAGCATTTAAAGTGCTTCCTGAAAGAAGTACATAAATGATATTTCTTGCATAAAGCACTTGAAGTGCTTTTGAAATCCAAAAATATTTTCTCTAAAAGCGTTTTTAGTCATTTTAAAAGCACATTCAAACGAGTCCATAATTATCATGACACCATGTTTATATTTTAGATCAACAAATTATTGATCAACTAAGAGTGTGTATTTAATTGGAATTTTAAATAATTTTAATGAGTTATAAAATTATGAAATTTGATGGAATTTTAATGCAAATTTCATAAATCTTATGTGAATTTTGAGTTATTCTCTTAACTTCTCATGCAGAATTTTAATAGACTTATTCGTAAGCATGGACCATATTCCAGCTATTATCGATCAACCTAGATCGGGACAACACTTGATTTTCCGTGTTATTGTTATTGGACTGTACGTTGGCTTTCTAGTTGGTGGACTTTGGATTTTCTTATTACTAGCCTTCATGCACAGGTTGAAGCGCGTGCAGAAGGTTTTTTTTTTAATCATGATATGATACGTGCAATTTACACATTTTAAATGTATTTATATGTATAAATTGATAAAAAGGAAAATCAAATATTTGAAGTAAATGAATGCTAGAAGAAACTCATCATAAACCAATTAAAGCAGCTGAATTCATATAATCGGTCTCTATAAAATTTATATTAAGAATAAAGAAAATAATATTTAATAAACAACTTATTGAATCACATTATTGCTAGCTCATTGTGAGGCTAAGCCCAACCCCTCCCTCTTAATATAGATAATATCGTTTGTTAAAAAAAAATCATTTGACAACTAATTTAATCACATTATTATCTGCGTGCGAAAGACTTTTTTTATAACTGACATTACACGCCTCTTAAGATGTTTTGAACGTGTTTAAAAATAGAGAAAATAATATTGAATGAACAACTGGTTGAATCACATTAATGCTATACTATTGTAAGGTACTAATTAAAAAAAAAAAGTACAAAAAAATTAATTATTTAAAAAACATTGTTAAAATGACAAAAATACCACTGCCTTATTTGATGCATTATTTTGGGTTGCCTTTGAAGTTTTTTGTTTGAGGGGCATTTTTGTCCAAATATTGTTGTTGAAGCTTGTGACACTAAAAATACCATTCACCTTTAGTGTTGGTTTTTTATATAGATAGTTATTGAAATTGAATTGTAAATTCACCTTTCGGTACTAATTCTCGATTATACATTTTTTCTTGGGAATTGTTATTGATACTCCAAATTTCTCATTCTACACTCCAAACTTTCTATATTTGGAAATAAAAATATATTTGTGAGGAGTATAGAATGAGATTGTTAGAATGCCAATAATACTTCCATTTTTCTTACTTTAAAGCCCCAACTAATAATTATTTTTTAAATAAATGATGTCGATATGGACTTTATATGTTGATCTTGTGAATTGTTAATTGTGCTCCAAAAAATCATTAAAGCACTTCTCTCTCTCTCTTCCTATGACTTTTATGGATGACAATAACAGCTTCCTTATACTACCCGAATAATAATTACCAATTCTAGTGAAATTATAAGTATGTTTGAAAACCATATAGTTTTCAATTTTTAGTTTTCATTTTTGTGTTAGAGATACGTGAGAAACACATGAGAAACAAGTTATATAGAAGAGTTGAGGAACTATGGTAGCACATATGTAGAAGAAATGCATATGGAAGGGTCCACAAAATAAAAGGTAAAAGCCAAAAACCAAAAACTATTATAAGTTGTTTTAACTTTCAGGATTAAATTTATTTATTTATTTTTTTTTTTTTGTGTTTCTACTCGTTCCTCTCAATGTAACCTCATTCTTTTGCCTACATTTTCTCATATCTCAAGCACAAAAAACTAAAATCTGTAAATTAAAAACAACATAATATGAAACGTCCTCAAATTGTCATTAGAGGAATACTAGGGAGACTAAATTTGTAGACAAAGTTTTGAAAATTAAAGAACATGAAAGTTGATGATTGGTTTATTACTTACATATTGATAAACGTGCTTATTCTTATTGGTGACACATTATTTAGTTTGTAAATTTAATCTCTAAATTTAGTCTTTCTAGCATTACCATTCTCATTTTCCGTAAGACCTTAGCAACTTCTCTATTGATTTAGTTTTTTATTAGGAAATTAATCTTGGGCTTTTAAATTCTTCACTCTATTGATTTAAGCATCCTCGGAACCTGTGAAAAGCTTATATTTATATATTGTATAATGCTAGAGAATAAATATTGTATAATGCTAGAAAATTAATTTTTTAAATCGAAATTGTAAACTAAATGATGTGTTATTAATATAAAATAAGCATATTAATTAATATTTAATAATTCAATAATCAGAATTCACATCATTTGGTTTACAAAATGGGTAATGCTAGGATGACTAAATTTGTAAACAACATTGGTAAATTAAATGATTTGTCACCAATAGGAATGCGCACATTTATCAACACTTAAGCAATAACCTAATGATCAACTTCAATGTCTTTTAGTTGACAAACTTTTGTCTATAAATTTAGTCTCTTTAGCATTACCCTTAGAAATTTGATCTATCTAGCATTATAGATTGTATTTCTATCCTAAATAAAGATAATTAAACCTATTTTTCTATAAATAATATTGATGTGGGAAACATTATTCTTTGTGAGATAATTGTCTGACATATTATGTCAGTCAAATTGTCAGCAAAAATTAATTTATTCATGTAGACTTTTGTTTGAAAATGTTGTTCGGCAATCTAACATATAACATGCTAGACCATTTGTGTAAGAAAATTGCTGCAAAAACATCAAATAAACTAGTTTCTAGTATATATAGAATACATGTTCTGATTCAATGACTATATATTATTAACTACCAAATTCGTGGTTAATTATATATTGGTTTGCAGTAGCTCATACTCTAGGAATAAACCATTGCCGGAACGTGATGGAAAGGTTTTGCCCAACAAGTGATC